TTGCTCTCTATGTTAACCCCCACTTTTTAATCATATCCCTGCTTGCTGACTTCCTTTACAGCAATCACCACTTCTTCTGCCAAACTACAGTATCTTGGATTTATTTTGCTCTTTTTTCTGTACCGATTCTTGAGGCAAGGCTGGTATTTTATAGTTAAAACTGCTATAACACGCGGAAACACCACTCCACAGCTCTAGAGCAGCGGTTCTCAACCTTCTGCACCTTACGCCCCACCAACCATTTTGGCAAAAAACCCTGGTCCCACCATGATAGAAACAAAACCCCACAACACTGCACTGTTCAAGATATCTGCTGATTCATCTATTTAAAGTGCAAACAACTGACTTTTTTTTCCTTCAATAAGGCAATGAGCTGAAGTCCCACCTACATGACCTTCGAGTAGTTGAGAAACACTGCTCTAGAGGAGTGCTGAGAGAGCTTCCAACCACCGCGGGCGAGGTGCAAGTGCTACACACCCAGACACTCGCATGGCCCGTGTGCATTTTGAGACCTAAGGATCGGGAGCCTCAACCAGGCAAATCCTATCACTATCCCTGCTTACTCATACCTCTCCATAAAGATCCTCCATGGGTCCTCTCTTGGACTCCCCTTCAGTCAATCCCTTTTCAAAGCTTTGTATTACACCACAGTTGGAGTAAAACTCCTTGATTCAACTGATACTGTAAAAACAACCTTCACTTCTTTTCTTCCCCCTCAACTTCAGCAAACTCGTCACCAAATATTAGATCTGCAAAAATCCCAACTCTCTACTGGGCCAGAGGGAAAAAAAACATGCTTGTTCATACAGGAAACCACACAAAACAGCAGCATGGTTCCTCTGATCTATGCTATTGCACCCACTTTGCCAGGCAGATCCTGGGAATAAGCATCTCCCCTTCCCACTCCCAGTGAAGTCTAACAGTCCAGAGTGCTCTACAAAATTAGAGTCTGAAACCTTTATTCCCTTTCTGTCCCAGCTCACAGAGTGGGCAGTACTTTCTAACACAAAACCATGGATTTTGCTGCCTGGGGACAGACTGGAATGCTTGCTGTAATCTGGCTTTTGTGCTCAGATCCCCTCATCGGTGCAGCAGAAGGATAATGGAGCTAGTAAAACGCCAGACTGTTTATGCTGCTGTGAACTAGGGGTATAGGGTAGGGCAGGAAAGATTTTTTGCATTTCTTTTCACTGTATTTATGCCTTGAGTCCATTTCAGCCTGCCAAAACTTCAGCTGTCCTGCTAAAGAAGCCCTACAAATACAAATGTTGACGCTGCATAACTAAAGTTGTTCAAGCAAGAGCTACTAGACTTCTAAAGGGGGTGGAAATAGCTTATCTGAAAGACTGAAAACATTGGGACTACTAACAAACACTGCAGAAGAAAAACGAAAAGGACACACAAGATAAAAAGCAACAAATGATATAAAAAGAGTGATGGGAGTATCTCTTCTCCCCGTCTCAGTCATAATACACAAACAATCAGACATTTAAGGTCACAAATTCAAAGCTTACAAGTAAAAAATCCTTCTTTACAGAGTGGGACTATGGAATTTGCTGGCACTGAAGATCACTAGAGCCAAGAACTTAAATGGACAAAAGGGATGGGACATTTATAAAGATAGCAATACTCTGAATGATCAGAATAAAACTGAAATATTTTGTAAGGAGACCTTTTGTGAAGTGCATGTTACCCCAGATTTGTCTACCCCTTGGTAGGTCCTTGCTCCAAAGACCTTAGAAAGCCTAAAGATATCACATGAAGGACAGAGAAAGGATGAACCCATAAGGGAGGAAGAGAAGGCAGCCTACATTTTCAGCAATAAGAGAGATTTTAAAAGGGGTTCAAGCTTTTAGAGAAAACTGAGAAGCCATCTAAGTGTGTGTGTGGGGGGGGGTCATACCTTTTTAGGGGTCTCTACTTAACCATAAACCTCATGGGTCCTTCATGATTGTGGAGGACCATCTTCTCCCACTGCCATGGGACACAGCACTCTCCACCCTACTTGCCATCTCCTGTAATGAGCAAGGAGTGCTGAACAACATCTTTTTCTGAATTTGACACTTTAAGAGATTTACTGTTCTCACCAGGGAAGAAATGTTTCTTTTGTTATCTACGGCTTTGTTCTCACCCAGGGACATAACTGCATTCAAGCAACAGAACATTATGCTTAAATAAGTCTACCCTCTTTCACAACATACAAATTACTGTCCTCCAGATCCATTTTGATGCCTGTTTTCTTGAATACATGTAGCTACTAGCTGCTGACCTTTTAAAGTCTGTTTTTTCCGTTTACAGGTGCAGAAAGAGGTCCTTTCATTCCTGTTTTTACTCAAAACTATCCACCTAATTCATCACTACATTTTATTTTAAAATGACTGAGGTTTAGCGACATCTTGAAGCATGAATTTTCATCTTCACAGCAGTCCTGCAAACAAGTCTGCAAAAGGACTGGCACTAAATCAGGTCACATAATTAGAGCCCTATGAGAGAAGAAAACAGCAATTCATTGCAATCCTATTCATTATAAGATAAAACAGAGGTATTTTGAGGAATGGGTCAACTGGAGATTAAGATAAGTAATTAGAGGACATTTTATCTAAAATTGCATGCCAAGTCTCCAATGCAGCGCTTTCGAACATGACCCTTTTAGCTGAAATTGGCAATTAGGCAAACATTAATAATCTCACTTTCTAGTTTGTGACAAAGGACTTGGGAAGACTCACAAGGACTGGAAGCTGTTAAAATGAAGAAAGGATATGGTGCCAAGATCATGGCTGTAGAAGGGGAAGAGAAGTCAAGGACCCCTACACTAGCAAAAGCCATAAGGTTTGTTTGCAGCTGGTCATAGGCAGGGCCCAAAAAGCTTTACAGACAAATTGAAAGCTTCTTTCCTTGTACAACAGCATTTTTTTGTCTCTACAAAGATAAATTGACAAAACTTGCAAGCGTTGTTCCAATTTTACCTCGATATTGGGAGCACAGAATCTAAAATGAGTTGCCCAAGTTCATGCAGCAAAAGCTAGAAACAGAGGCCAGGAATCTGTGTCCTAATCACTGCACCCCACTGCCTAAAACAGAAAACAATCATCATTCACCGTGAAGAGAAATGGGAGCTGGTGATTAAGGCTACCGTTACTAGCTACCAAGACCTGGGGTTGGCAGGGTAGTAAGGGAAAGGGAGAGAAGGAAAGGAGAAAGAAAGGCTGGCCAGATTTTAAGTTAACTGAGGGGAAGTCCACTAAGGTCTAGGGACAGGGGATGTAAGGTCCTTGGGAAAAAGGGAAAGAATATGAAATCACTGAGCCTCAATGGGCTTGGCTCAGTGTTAAGATTATATGTACGCAATGCAAAACTGGGAGGGAAATCACTAGTATGTGTGGAGACAGAAATGAGGACACTGAGCCCACCAATATATCCTGTACAGTAGAGAAAGACTAAGTATGAATTACAACAGTAGTCCAGTGGTCTCTTCTGATTTTAAAGTATTAAGGGGTCCTGGTCAATTAGAACACAATGGGGCAAACATGGCACATCCACTGCTGCTCTGTAGCAATCTATACTCCTAGGAAAACTTCTTCACAGTCAGGGTGTCCAGACTGTGGAATAAACTCCCTCCAGAGGTGGTGCAGTCGCCTACCCTGGAAATCTCCAAGAGGAGACTAGACAGTCACCTCGCTGGGATCACCCGACCCCCAGTTGTCTTTCCTGTCTGATCCAGGAGGCTGAACCCGATGATCCTCCAAGATCCCTTCTGGCCTTACAATCTATGAATCTCTGCTCTGAACAGAGTCAGTGGTATGATTTGCCATACTACTAAGGTGTTTCTATGCTGCAAACCATGGCATCCTCTAGATAGGTCTAACATGGCTCTAAACAAGCTGGCAATCTTGTTGCAGCATCCCAGAGCTCGGCACAGACACATTTACCCTTCCCCTCAGATAAAGAATTGAGGGAGAGAGATTATAAAAACGACAGGGACAACGAGTAAGCTAGCCAGACTACAGGAACAAACTCCTCAATATTTTTAAGTTTCCTGTATGAACCCTACAGTGAGAGACTGCGGGACTTGAACCTATTCAGCCTCCACAAGAGAAGGCTGAGGGGGGACCTGGTGACTGTCTATAAACTCACTAGGGGGAACCAGAAGGGTTTGGGGGAGACGCTGTTTCCCCTAGCCCCTGCTGGCATAACAAGGAATAATGGGCACAAGTTGATGGAGAGGAGGTACAGATTGGACATCTGAAAAAACTACTTCACAGTTAGGGCGGCTAGGAGCTGGAACCAACTTCCAAGGGAGGTGGTGCTGGCCCCTACCCTGGGGATCTTTAAGAAGAGGCTGGATACTTACCTGGCTGGACTCATTTGAGTCCCGTTTTTGTTTTTAGGGTGAGTGGTTTTTTGTTTTTTTTTTTGGGGTTGTTCTCCCGCCCTGGTGGGGGGTCGGGCTAGAAGATCTATTAGGTCCCTTCCGACCCTGAAACTATGAAACTATGAAACTATTTTGCATCCCTCCCATTTTAGGTCAGATTGTGGAGCTCTCACCTTGTATTACTGTCCAATTAGTTCCACTCCAACCATGGACACTACTTAAATAACTGTTCAGTGCAAGGCCAATTATCTGATTCCTTTCAAACTTAAGGATAGAGTAGGGGGGAAGCCTACTGCTTGGGAGTGAGCATTAGCTGAACTGATGCAACACAGGGAGCACGGGACAGACAAGAGTCAGAGCAGCGCAGCAGACAAGTACTGTGACTGTAAAGAGCACTAAGCTTTTGGTCCATCTACAGCCTCTTGGTACTTTGTCACCTATCATGTGCAACATTTGGGGTTTTACTGGGAGGAGTGGGAGAAGGTCTGAGTATGGGACAGCACAGTACTTTGGGCCCCTCGTGCCAATAAATGGCCCCTTCTGGAAAGTTAAAAGCAACCCAGGGCCAAGCAGTGGCTTAGGCCAACTGGATCACTGCTTTCCCAAACCCATTCACATCACTGTTTACCAGAAGCTCATCCATGCTGGTCTGACATTTCTCAAGGTTGATTCGTTTAATTGCCACCTTCTCCTTTTTCGGGATACAATAGGCAGCTTGCACCACAGCAGTTGCTCCGCTCCCTGGGGAAGAGAGAAATGCACACAGTCAACACCTGTTCCTATACGCCCATTGCAGGAAGGCTGAAAAGTCAGAGATGCCAAAATTACAAACTCCGGCCACTGCTAATTAAAGATGAAGACCTGATGAATTCAGGCCCTTGGAAAGAAGTTCCACGGTGTTAAGCTCTGCATAAAATCAGGATGCACATATCAGAAGTGCTGGGTTAGCAAAACAGAAATAATGTAGAAATTCAAGATCATTAGAACAGCGTTGACAAATGAGGGAGAAACCTTGCCTTTACTCACCCAAGTAGCCCAACTCTAGGAGTGAGAAGGGCAAGACTGAGCCCTTAGACTGGGAGCAAATATTGTCACTGGATCTCTTTAACCTAGTATGTCCCACCTTATATTTTAGAAGCAATCTTTATTTATTTTTACTACCAACACTGCAATTAGAAACTTTTCAAATATTTATAAGTTTCTTTTCGCAGCTCCTCCTGTTTGGGCATTGAAGACAATACCAGATTGTTTCATTAGAGCCTATTCATTCATTCATTCAGCTCCAATTGTCTGATACCAGCACAAAGCCTTAGGGTCTGGGTTGCAACACCACAGGAGAACATTGAAATTCAAATAAAAAAAGCTGTTTACAGCCATTTAATGTAAAATTTGTTTAAATTCAGTTAAATAGGGTGATTTAAATTCTGTGTCTAAGCTACTAAACAGCATCCTTTTGGTATAAAAGAGACAGATGGTGTTAATAAGCTCTAGACAGATTTATAAGAGAACCGTAATAAGACAGGAGTTATTTGCTGGTTCCCAGCACTAGCTGAAATAACAGGGTTTGTCCATTAATGGGGCACCTGGACTATTTTACTTTCAACCCAACTCTTGGCTGCCTCCATTGGTGTAACAATCCAAATTCATGGGAAGAGTAGAAAGAGTCCCAAGATCTTCCCATTTTGTACAAAATGTATTTTGTACAAATTTAGCGCACAAAATAAAACCGTAATTCCAGCTGTGAAAAAACAGTTTGTTTCGTTTGACTAGCTCGTTTCGTTCACAGCACTTGAATGCTTTGGGGCTAGAGGAAAAGTCTTGAGAGTTGCATGGACTTACTGACAACGAAAACCATTTCAATTAACCCCAAAAGAGCAGCCAAACATGCATCTGCCCAGAGCTTTGGACACAAAGGAAACAGCCCTCTTCTTTTCCCACAGACTTGGATACAAAGTGCACCAGGAAAACATCCTAGGAAGAGATACCAGGAGACCGTAGAGTTCATTAACCACTCAGTCACACCACCGCCTTCATGTACCGACCCTCCTCATATACCCTCTCGCCTTAAAACTAGCCTTGTGTTTTCTCTCTCAGCTGCTCACCTCTTTGCTCTCTCCTGGGACCTTTGCTGGGGAGGAGGACCTTGGGGATGGGAAGGCAGAGTGCTCTCATTGAGACGCACACTCTGCATGCGCATGCACACTCTTGCTGCACACACACTCTCTCTGCAGGCAATAAATACAGTTCATGAGAGATACAGCCAGCGATCACAGCTGCTGGCAGCTCAGCGGTGGGAAAGAGCCGCCTCGCAGCAGAGGGAGGCCATGATGTTACAGCCTTCAGCTGCATCAGCTGCGCGCGAGAGCCAACTGCAAGGGACAGTCAGTAATTTCAGATTAAAAAGGAATATCCAGGAAGCACAGGCGAGGTTTATTTCATCCACGATTCTGTTTGCACCTCTCCTCTCCAAACCAAGCATGCCTAGTGCTTAAAGCTCTCCTCCTATAAGCTTGCTCCCAGATGCACATTACCACCCCCACCCCACAAACCAAATTGTGCTGCTCATCTCTTGATCTTTGCCATTTCCATCACATCCAAAGCAGGATGATAACGCAGTGTTCAAGGCAGAGGTGTCCACAGAACCTGGGGCTTGCTCCGACCACTTGTTATAGCAGCCTTGCCATTTGAAAAAGCCATTTTGAGGGCCAGCTCCAGTAAGAAATTGAATGAAACTGGTCAGTTTGGGGGGGGGGGGGGGGGTTAAAGGGGGGGGGGGGGGGGGGGGGGGGGGGGGAATTTAATGTTATAGTGGGTTTTTCAGTTTGGTGGCTGCTTTATTGCATCCAGAAGCTTCCTTTTTTTTTTTCCCCCCACCACCACAAATCCACCCCCTTGTTCTGTGACACCATTCAAACACAGAGAGCTTTGCCTCCCTTTTTTCTCCCCATGTATTTTAATTAACGCACAGGAAGAAACAACAACCTAGAGCAAGCCTGAGTCTGATTGTTAAACAAAGGCTGTTGAAGTCATCCACAGGCACAGCTAGTAATAGCTTCCTTGAAGCAAATCTTACAAAAGACAAACCTGAGCAATGGGTGCCAGAGGAAGAATTTAAATTTTGGGGGGCTTGGGGGTTTTTGCCTCGATCAAGGTTTCGTGGAAATGCAACATCAGTGGCACTACCCATGGAGCTCACCGTTCTGGCCCTCACCAGAGGTCGAGAGCATGGGGAGATGCACTTTCTGGGTTGCCACTTGATATTAACAGGTGTATTTTGCCAGCTGAGCCCTAAGCCCAAGAGTTTACTGTCTAAAGCTGCCAGGAGGTAGAAAGCCGAGCAAAGAACGGAGAAGTCACCAGCTGGGCTGTTTTGTGGAGCAGCTGGCTTCAGAGAAATTTAAGGAAGAGGTCATTTATTACTTGCAGGCATTCATTAATCCATACCGTTCCCTAGCCCAGAGGGCAAGATCAAAAGCTGCCAGAGACGCTTAGGTGGAGCAGGCGGTAGAGGGCATAAGAAGAGAAGGGTAACATCGGCAAGACTCTTCTTTCAGTGCTTTGAAAGTGAACCTGGAGCGACATGCGCAGGGAGCAGTGGGAA